TATATATATATATATATATATATATATATATATATATATATATATATATATATATATATACCACAATGGGGAAAGAAGACCGTAGTCAAAGGAAGATAGTTAATAAATATGGTGGGACTTTGGGCGTCATGTGAGCACCATTTACTTCTCTGCACGTCCAGAGAGAGAGAGAGAGAGAGAGAGAGAGAGTAGGCATTGAAGTCCCAGACAAGCTCACGTAGTCCCTCACATGGGTGGCCAAACCTGCGAGACTGCATGCAAAGCGTCTCTCGTATCGGAGCTCACTCTGACAGAGAGAACAACATCGCACTACAGCGAGCACCAAACTATGTCTTCGTCTCAACAGCATCACGCTACTGCGAAGGTGGCTCCACACGCACGTTCGTCTGTGTCGGCCATGTTGGGATGTCTCCCCTCCCTGTGGACGTCGGAGTAGAGGAAATATAAGCCTCCAATATGAAACAAACAGCACACGGAATGGACTGTTGTCTTCGATCAATTGAACTCTGGTTGAGTAGCGACGAGGTCTTCTTCTTCTTCTTCTTCAGATAAAGGTAATGTTGGAGCAGCGAAGCAATGCTTCCATCTTGAGATGGAATAGTTGAAGGTCCTCCCAGTGCATCATGATCCAATTGTTTCTGCTCATCACTGTCATTCCACATATATATACCAGTCTTGAGCTGTTCTTATCATCAGCCGATGGCAACACAACGAATGCCACTGAAAACGAGAACAACACAGGAACAATCTGATTCCACAACTTTCCACAAAACTGCATCCTTCACAATCATGTTTTGCATAAAGAAAGGAGCATAAGACACACCGGATGATCACAATCCATATCATGAAATCAAACAATGTGATTATGAGCTTCAGACTTGTTCTTGTCAGTAGCATTATAAGCAAGAACATAACACTTCAAAAAGACCCAACTCATAAAGGAACAACCGATCATTTAACTACCCAGATAAATAAACACAACATTCGCACAAAGAAGAAAGGAATTCGAGCACAAAAGAGTGAAATGTTGCCTTCGGTTTCCTCTCCACCGTCAATTTTTATGGTCCGAAACAGCCAAGAAGCTTCTTCGGTGCAAGTCCCGTGGCACGATATTTCGCGGCAACCTCCTCCACCTTCAGGAGCTCTTCACCACGTCTAGCCTCAACCATTGCTCTCTTCTCTTCTGCAAACCTATGAAGCAGGGCAATCTTGTTCTTAATTTTCTCTGCATATTCTGCCTTTTTCTTTTCCAGTTCTTCCTGAGCATCCATCAGGCGGAGAAATATTTGTTATACATCCATCTCAGTCACATCACCAATAGATGGTGAGAGCATCTTAATCAAGGTTTACAAACTCAAGATATTCAAGCTCTGTGATCACTGGTTTGTTTCTCCATACTATTTCCAATGGCATTTTTAAGATATCTCAAAATACAGAATGCTTTGAACTTTTATCTTTCCAGACTTTATCATCTAAAGAACTATATGGATGTTTCTATTGCGTTGTATTTAATTGTGAAGACAAACATTTATTTTACATTGTAATATTTTGTTTAAATCAGCTATAGATCTACATTCCTAAGAATATCTCATACAACAAATAAGGAAATCTACGACTTGGGTGAACCATGACATCGCTGTAATATGTTGAAGAAGTACCATACCTCTTTCCTTTTCAGCTCAGCTTCCACAGCTGCTTTTCTAGTGATTTCCCATACCATAATTGATGACAACTTCTTAACAACCCTGTTCTCATTGCCAGGAAAACATGCCAAATCATGCACAATATTGATGCATATCAAGAGACCACAATGTGTTAGCAAACATCAAAACGACTGAAGCATGAATTCCATGTAATTGAGGATCCACGTTCTTGCGACCGACAATACTTATGTACTAAGGAGCCCCATTAAAGGCACATGACAAGGAACAAACAAAGTTTTAGTAACTGGATTACTGAATGTTTCACCATGTAGAAGTCATTAACACCCTTTTTCCGCCCAAAGCCCACAGTAATCAGGTATAGGGATATTTTAATTAATGTAGGTTTTGAAGCATGAGGAGAAAACTCTAAGCATCATATTGAGAAATAATATTGAAGAACAATGATGACACAAGATTCAGAGGAATTTTGCTAATTTATGGAAGTAGAAAAAAGTGTCAAGGAATCAAGATAAGATGTATTGATTAGCATTTGCTGGTATCCAACTGAAATCTTGGTGTCACTAAGATGCTAGACATATATAAGCTACAAAATACTCTGCATCAGGTCATTAGCTTCAGTCTGAGCAACATAAATTCATATGCGGTAGTAATCACTTGTCGCGAGCTGTTCAGACAAGATCAACACTGCTGTTTGACAAACTGAGATATATTTCAGTTTATCAGCTGGACTAAGAGGGGTACTACTCGCATTGATGGAGCCATGGCAGGGTAAAGAGGATTGAAGATAAAGGGTAGAAGCTCAGATTACTAATCCTTCCTTAAACCCCAAGACAGAACCACAATCAAACAAGATAGATATATCAAAGAGACACATATAAGACAAAATAATCTACATTAACAAATATGAAAATCTGGGTCATAAGGTTAACGTAGCAGCAGCTTAATCGTCATTCACTGACATCTGATGTTTCATTAATCTACCAAAAACTAGTATGTCAAACATTCTGAATACAATCTAATCAGGTCATCCAGCTCATGATCTAGACAGTTTGCTTGGATATGGATAAGAATATGCATTTTGATCTGCAATAATGTACAATTTAACATTTCAAAGTTCAGTATCATAGACACAAATGAAATTAGATTTTATACATGTAGTTTTTCGAAAACTTAAAGTTTCTGCCACTTTGATAGTCATCTTTTTCTAAGCCCAGTGAAAGAACAAATAAAATTAATTATTCAAAACATCTAATATTAATCTTACTTATTTTCCACCTTAGTCTTTTCGTTATCTTCCCAAGCTTTGATCAAAGACAACCTCTTCTCTGTTTCAAGCCTTGCAAGAACTGCATTAAAACAGAAATATTAAAACATGGGCATCCTCTTCTCGATTTTTACATCATATGTAAGACAATCACCGATGCAATCAAACATATCCATGCACCTACCACTCTCAGCTGAAACCTCTGTGCTCTTTTCTGTGGAAGCATCCTCATCACCTGATGCCAAAGGAGAAGTATAAAAGAAATACAAGAGAAATAAATAATTGGAACTTCAAAAGGGACCCATTCTATCTAAGACGATCTTCTCATCCAGCAAGAAATACATTAGTAGCATCATTTCTAGAAAGAATCAAATGATAAAAGCAGCATAATAGTCATATACTGAGCCAAAGCCTTCAGATGGAAATCCACCCTGCCCATGTCTACACCGATCGGCTCAGTTTTTATATGTTATGCCGCCTACTATAAACAAACAACTCCCCATTGATTATAGAGAACTAATCAGATAGAAAATGTTGAAGAAGAAGTCAAAAACTTTAACATCTCTGGGGCAATAATCAACTGTAGTGTTGAATTATTAACACTAGTTCATTTTATATTTTAGAGAAGAATAAGAGAGCAATCCAGTACACGAACCTGGTATCTCAGCAAAGAACAGTTTTTGGCGACTCCATCATATCTTATTTCCACCATAAACTACATTAACCGTAAAGCTAGAGCAGCAGACGTAGGGAGAGAGTAGACAGAGACAGAGAGCAGAAAGGGGTTTCTCACTCTCGTCGATGGCGACGGCATCAGAGTCGTCGAGCTTCCGCTCGGCTGGCGAAGGAATCGGGGCCTTCTCTTCCTCGACGTCCTTCACCGCCACTGCTGTCCGCAACGGGGCCTCCGCCTCGTGCTTCGCGCCGGCCTCTTCCATCCTCCAAGTCCTGCTCGGCGGCACTCCCACCACCAAAGGCTGTCTTGTAATGCTCGCCACCCTCAATGCACAAATTCTTACATACACATATATATACATATAAAAGCATAATGGAAACAGGAGATGGTTATTATCGGAGAACGGGTTTGATCGTGTTGTTATTGCGAACGGAAACATAGACTCGTATCGTAACTGAAATCGGCGTAAGATTTCTCCGGACCGCGCGAGTGGGGCCGGAATTCTGGGACCCGAGGCGGGTGACGTTTAGCACACATACGAAAAGGACGCAAGACGAGGATGACAGTACGTCGAAGACGAGGGATTAGTTGGAGGCTCCAAGGCGGCCGCCGCAGAAGTGGATGCACCACACGAGGGCCATCGCCGTTGCGGCCACCGCCAGCACGTGCGATGCGTGCGCGAACGGAGCAGCCTCGAACGTAGCGGCCACCGCCGGCTCCTCTGCTCTTGCGCCAACGAGAGGCGAAGGCCAGTTCTCTGTCAAGGCCGCAAGAGTCGGCTGTTGAAGCTGACGGAGACTGGACCGTCCATACCCCGGAACTCCTCGGGAGGGAGGAAAAGAGGACCACCGGAGCCGTGTCCTGTGGCTGGCCACAGACTCCACTGCCCATCCTTGGTGAAGCTTTGCTCTCTGCAAACACTGATCAACTCATTTTCTTCATATACTAAGAAAAGTTAAGCTGTTCGATCAGTCATGCTTCGTCTCTTTCTAATTGTTCTTTGCTTTCCTTATTTATTTTTCTCTTTCTTCTTTCTCTTCTTTTGTTTCTTGTTCTCTTTCCTTTCTTTTGACCTCATGGGTGAGATGATCTTTAACCAAGACTTCATAAAGGATTACAACCCGAGTCAGCGGCTCAGCCTTCGCACGTTGAAGCTTCCAAATTTCAAGTTCTCACTTCGCTTTGAAGCTTCGAAAGCACTCAAGAGACTGGGGATTGGAACTTCCATTCATTGACAAAGAAGCAGAACTTACAGTCATGGTAGTAGATCTGCCTCCCAAGTTCGTGCCGAGGAAGAACTTGTATGTCAACTACTGGAGTCAACGAGGAAGGCACAATTGCATCGGCTGTGGTTGGCCGCCTCTACTGCCGGAGTTTATAGCGGATCATCCGTTCGTTTTCACAACCATAGAGGAGGAGCATGGAGCTGTATTGTTCTTCGGGCATGTGCTTAATCCTTCGCATGAGTGCTGAAAACAAATATGAATACAGGAACAGTATAAAAGGATCAGACAAGAGTATGGCGAGGATAAACAATGACGCGAGATCGGATGTGCGTTGAGACGGTGGTGGAGACAATGGAGGTCGCGTTGACGGTAGACTGTCAGGTGGGTTTCACTGGACCATGTCATGGTCATCCCTCGGTTCTTCAGAGACCGACAGCCCAAAGAGAGCGTGTCATGAAGAAGTTTGGTGGTGGGTGTAATCATAATAGAAGCGGGAACACGAGAGCTCCACGTTGCTTGCTTTTACAAAGGGCACGCTCTCTCTCTCTCTCTACATGTGTAGTTGCGCCTACTACGATCGGCTTCAATTACCTCTTCTCCGGGGCTCTTTGTGGTCACGAGATTCTCTTTTCCCACCTTCCCGTCTTACTCCCCACCGCTTTGCACCTGACAAACGCATAAGCCTCAAGCCCTCCCACCTCTTTTTGTCCCTCTTCCCCTTTCGTCTTGCCGGAGTTCCAGGAGGAAATCTTCCTTCAGACTTGCCTCATCCACACAAAAATACGAGCTCCAAGGGAAGAGAGGAGGGAAGTAAAAGGGAGTGTACAAGGAGATGAAACCGATCGATTCTGGAAATGGCGCACCAGTGCCTTCCACTGGGCAGCAGCGGAGACCGGAGAAATCCTCGCTCTGAAACATCGATGACTTGCTTGATTCTACTGCTTCTCTCGTCTTTCCTTCTTGTATCAGGTGGGAGTGAGGATATACATTGAAGATCTCCAATCAAAGATGTGGCCCCAACTGAAGAAGAGGAACATGGCAGCGGCTACAGGTTCCCCTTCGTCCGGAAGCGCGGTGACGCTTATCCTCCTTCTCCTCCTCGTCGGTGGTGCTTTTATTCCCGGCCGATGGATCCGCGACACCGTAAGCTTCCCTTTCCCAGCTCAGTTCTAAACTGTTCTTCCATAAAAAGCTATTTCGTATATCTGTGAAAGACTCATTTTCAAGAAGGGTATATATATTCCATTCGATATTTAGATATCATTCACGTTGACGACAATTGTCATCACGATTGTTGTCGTCGGGACATGCGTCAACGTTGTGGGATCCGCCAGTCAACCGAGTGGCTTGCATGCTACCCAGCTGTATCTTCTAATTTTAGATGAGAAGTGCGCCGTCTTGCTGTTCTCCTCTTCTTCTCATCGTGTTCTTCATTCATTTGCAGTCAACAATGCGCGAGACAAGTCCCATCATCATGGCTCAAAACCTCATCATCAACCCCATTGTTGATCATCAACCCCCTCCACGCCCATCTCAATCTCTCCCCACCATTCCAAAAGCAGAACAGGCGCCTGCAGCCACAACGAATCAGACTACAATGAACCAAGCAAATCCCATTGTTGACCTTCGAGCTCCGCCACTGCAACCTCTTCTTCCCTCAATTCCAGAACCACAACAAGCACCAGCAGCCATAGTGCCTCCTTTTGCATGTCCCACCGGAAACCAAACAGGAAACGAAATCTGCCGATCTGCAAATCCAACATTGCCAATCCCTGCCCCGACTCTGTCCCTTCCACATTCTTCGTCCTGCCCAGACTACTTCCGCTGGATCCACGAAGATCTCCGCCCTTGGAAGTCCACTGGAATAACCAGGAAGATGGTGGAAAGAGCCCGAAGAACTGCCAATTTCCGGCTCGTCGTCCTCAATGGCAAGGCCTATGTGCAGCGCTATTGTCATTCCTTCCAAACACGCGACGTCTTCACCATCTGGGGCATCCTGCAGCTGTTCCGCCGCTACCCGGGACGCATCCCTGACCTTGACCTCATGTTCGACTGCGTCGATTGGCCCATCGTCCGCGCCAGTGACTACCGAAGGAGGAACGCGTCAGCACCGCCGCCGCTGTTCCGGTACTGCGGGGATGAGTCTACCCTTGACATAGTCTTCCCTGACTGGTCCTTCTGGGGTTGGTAATTCATTTGATTCTCGTGATCGCAACATGTTGTCCGACGCAGAACGGTCTTTGTGTTGGTAACTAAGTGAATTCCTCTCCTCTCATTCTCGGAAGGGCGGAGATCAACATAAAGCCATGGGAGGTGCTGAGGAGTGAGCTCAAAGATGGGAATGGCAGGGTGAGGTGGATGGATAGGGAGCCTTATGCTTACTGGAAAGGCAACCCAGCAGTTGCCACCACCCGGCAAGACCTCCTCAGGTGTAATGTCTCTGAAGCCCACGACTGGAACGCTCGGCTCTACGCACAGGTGGGTATAGATCATGTATATGAATCAGGATCTGACTTCTTACTGATGTCAGCTCGCTTCGTAGGATTGGCTCAAAGAGAGCAGGGAAGGGTTCAAAGAATCGGACTTGGCGAACCAATGCATTCATAGGTACTCTCTGCTTTAACCCCTACTGTCGATATGGTGATTAAGAAGTGAGCTTAAGATGGTACAAGCAAACAATGGTGGTCAGGTACAAGATCTATATCGAAGGTTCGGCATGGTCGGTCAGTGAGAAGTACATTCTAGCTTGCGACTCTCTGGCGCTACTAGTGACGCCGAAGTACTACGATTTCTTTACAAGGGGATTGATGCCACTGCAGCATTACTGGCCTATTAGGGACGACGACAAGTGCAGATCCATAAAATTCGCGGTCGACTGGGGCAATTCTCACAAGCAAAAGGTATGTATGCAGCTCAAGTTCTTCCCTTTTCGCAGAGGAAGGCGAGTTCTGATCCTTGGAGCTCTCAACAGGCACAAGCCATCGGAAAGGAAGCCAGCAACTTCATCCTCGAGAAGGTGAAGATCGACTATGTCTATGACTACATGTTCCACCTGCTGAATGAGTACGCGAAGCTCCTTCGATACAAGCCTACTATACCTGAGGGATCTGTAGAGTTGTGTGCCGAGTCCATGGCGTGCTCTGCGAAAGGTCTGGAGAAGAAGTTCATGACGGAATCACTGGTGGGGTCTGCTAACGATTCCAGCCCCTGCATGATGCCTCCTCCCTACAGCACGTCGGAAGTGAGAATGATAGCGAAGAGAAAAGCTAACGCCATGAAGAAGGTGGAGATGTGGGAGCAGAGAGCACGGGAGAGTCAGGATAACAAGGTGTAGGTGATGTTCCCCGCTGTGTTCGTAGCTGTAGATTGCAGGTAGAATAAGCATCTTTTGCTAACATGAAATTTCCAGTCGTGAGAGCAGAAGACCAATCATGTCCTAACGTGGGGAAAATACAAACTTTTCTCTTGTGATCAAAGATTACATTAATCTAACAGTTTATCGTGTTCTTCATCCATGAGGATGAAGAACACCATAAACAGTCATGTAACCTTCTAATTTACATGTAAAAGAATGCATCAAGACAATCAAGATGGATCTTCGATCCTTGGAAAGCTATGTAAGCTCCAAAACATAGCGAGTCCAGAGTAGAGGAAAGGCCGAGAGGATGAGTTAGATAGCTCGCCCTTTCACGATGTCGATGCTCATCTCGCTCGGGTCCGTCGCCTGCACCTCCACTTGTATTCCATCGAGCTCCCTCTTGAATCTGTCCTTTGAACTGGCATACAGCATCTTACTCCTCACCCTTGATGCATCAGGAGACCTGTATGCATGCATGCATGCATGGAACAAAGAATATATATAGTCCAAGTCAACCTGCAGATGCATGGAGTTGATGCTGGTCTTCCTTACCAAGCAATGAAGAAGATCTTGCTCCGTTGGCAGTTCTCATCAGTGACGAAATCGAAATCGTAGACGGCGTACCGGCACTCGTTGGGTGGCAACGACGCGGCCAAATCATCGTAGCTCTGCTCCGGCTGGCCGAGCTTCTCCACTGTGACCTGCTGCAGCTTCTCGTCGATTTTGAAGACGATAAAGCGGAAGTTCCTCTTAGCCTTCAGCTCCAGGAATTTGAGCTTGCACTCGTCGTTTACTGCCATTCCCGACGCAGAATTCGCCTTTCCAAAGCACAACACAAATGATCGTCTATCATCAGAAAGAATAAACAGCGATGCTGATCATGTAATGGGAGAACAAAGGTTGATTGGATTCCAGTGGCATTCATACATTGTATTAAAAGTTCAGCCATGGAGTAGCGAGAAGAAGGGAGGGTGCTTACCATGATATATTTGCGATGAGGAATGAGCAGGCCCAAGGAGAATGGGGATTGAAGAGGAAAGGGGAGGAGGAAGAAGGGTGACAAGGGGAGGGAGGAAGCAGGGGAGGATTTAAATGATGCTTGTGAGGGAGGGAGAAAAAGGTGGGAAGGAGAGGATCATTTGATGGAGGGAAATGAAGGTGGGGAAGCAGCTCAAGGGACCTCCACAAAGCTATTGCTTGCTACCTCCAAAGCTAGCTTAATCTTGCACTTGCAATTTTGACCTGGCCATTTATCCATTACTATGTTACTTTACTGGGATTATTCTGTAATGAACAAAGAAATATATCATTTAAGATAATAATAACATTTAAATTGCTAATCATTATTTTTTTCAAAAATCAAGCTATGAAAATTTTCACTATTAATTTCTGAAGTTTTAAAATGACTAATTGACACTTTGAAGTTCATGAAATATTATTATTTGCTATAAGAGAGCTTCTAGTTTATATAAAATTATATTTTCTAACCATAGAGAAGGTATCTAATTCACAAGAAATATATAAAAGAGATTCTTGATTAGTGTCCGTGAAAATGATTATGGAAATCAATTTGTCTGAGATAAGTAGGGAGATAATTCGAACCACCTCACCATTGACACAAGTTTAATCTAATTTTGAACATGATATATACACATATATATATATATATACATATATACATATATATATATATACATATATATATATACATACATATATATATATACATACATATATATATATATACATATATATATATATATATACATATATATA